TTCAGAGCGGTTGTGGAATTCGTAAATGCACAAATCATGTATGGAGAGTTCAAAAAGTGGAAGGACACAGTCATCCATTACTGACTGATTACAAGTGTCTATTCGGATAGAGTTGAATGACTGAGCGAATTACCTTGAAGCAACTATGTTGATACCGTATATCAACAACACATTCGTAGTTGACTTGTATATTGGTCTGGAAGTGAAGACTGGAACACTGACTTCATTGCATTTGAGACTCATCAGCTGGATGCTTTTCATGGTGTAATTAATATTCGCATGGAAATTCGAGGCAAGTACCTTTCATTTCGAGCACCAACACATGATCTACTGATATATTGAGTTCAAATAGTCAGTAGATTGTTCAACGGTTGTGAATTTTATTTTGAAATAGTTTTCATTTAGCCGTTTTTGATGTTGAGTGTTGTAATTGATCAGTCTGGTTTGCAACCGTATGGTCATTCAGTCACCGATTCTAAGTAGAGTTGGATGATGACTGGTAGTGGATTCCGAGATGTGTGCATCGTCCTACATAAGCGTAGTCAATCTCTTGAGAGAAAAGATTGTTATGTCAAAGTGTGGAAAATCGAACGTTGTATAATTTACATAAATAAATAATGAGTATTGTGAAACGTGTAACGCAGTGGTGAGTAGTCCATGAACCTGTCTCTACATAAACGCATTCTATTGTGTACTGAAGGCGAATGTGGAAGTATTAAAATGAACTGAATATGCAAACAATGACTGCCTGTCCTGAAACTGTGAACTTTCCTTCCATCACAGGTCTGTTGACTATGAATACGGTATGTTTCCATTTATTTTAAAATGAATTTAGGAACTTATACTGGATATAGTGCATTGTCTATCGCGGAAGTATTGCCATCAGATGGGCGTGTATTAACCATGGAAATAACAGATGAATATTTGAAAGACTATTGTTTGCCAGCATGGAAGAAAGCAGGTATAGAATCGAAAGTTGATTTCCAACTCGGTTCAGCTGTTGATACTCTACGTAAGTCTGATCATATGGTGTGGTATATTATTTCCAAGAAAAACAAAATACAGATGTACAGTCAATGTTTTAGCATAGAATATCCATGGTGATAAGCAGTTTGTCATCAGGTTACTGATGTGTTCACTAGTGTCAGCAATACTATCTGATTGGTTTTGGAAAAAGATAATATATGTGGAATTCATGCTACAGTTCTGTTTAAGGTAGTTGAAAATAATGGAATGTTGGTTAATGTGGACGGAATCTACAAGCAATCTTCTGATTAAGAAGTATTAGTGGAGTGGTCAGAAATACATAAATATCAAACGAATGAACTGCAAACAACTTTCATTGATATCGGTTTCGATATCCTTTGGTTTAAATATTGTCTGAGTTAACCACTTGTACAGACTATTGAAAAATGCTGACCAGTTTATTGTATCTGTATGTCCATTAGTTCTAAGTGCATTATTGATTTGTTTGATGAAGTTCCCTCCTATAATGTACATGATGTATGCGAGAAGCTATAATGTTTGCACTAGACAACATTATCAGGTCTTGTTTAGATTGCATGACACTTTTTGAAATCATTTCAAATTATATGAGAATTTTCGTCTAAATTTGAAGTAATAGGTTCACAGTGTTTGTGCACCGAGATAATCTGTGACATTGAAGAGAAGGAATATATTGGCAAGATCTCTGTGATTGAGTCCAGTGTTTTGCTCGAAAAACTGTATGCCAAATAGATCATTCAATCATATTAATGACATTTGAAGGAAGTATCTTCTGTAGTGTGTATCAGATACGTGTAACGTGTGTGACGAAATGTGTGTTAAGAAAACAGACTGTAAGTATTGTGTGTAAGTGGATCGGAGGTATGAAAAAAGTATTTCATTTTGATTGAAATCACGAATCGATGGATGTTAGACCATCACTGAAAAACTGGAAGGGGTATGAGATTCCTCAAAAGTGCGTATTCACGACCATCCATGAAGGACTCAAACCCAGCACTCTCAGTCTCGTGCACGAATTATTAAACTCTAGACTACGGTGCCGGCACATATATTTATTCGGTTAGTATTCGATAACAGTTGGATGTATGTAAGTACGTTCAGTTTGATAACAGGTTTGTCGTAAACTATTTATTGATTTGATAACTGAACATTTTATATTTTATCTACTGGTTAAGCGCCTGGCGCTAGACCGATAGGTCCTGGGTTCGAATCTCGCGGGGAGCGGGATCGTGGATGCGCACTGCTGAGGAGTCCCATGCTAGGACGAAACGGCCGTCCAGTGCTTCCAGGTTTCCAACGGTGGTCTAACATCAATTGATTCATGATCTCAATCAAAAACTTAACAATCTCCACAACCCCTATACTGATAATTTTATATTTTAATTGAACTGTTGTGCCAACAGAAAATTTGATTGATAATGGAGAGAGTGAAACATTCGATTTTGCCCTGATCGATGCTGATAAAGAAAACTATAGTAATTATTATGAACTATGTTTAAAACTAGTTCGACCTCGTGGAATCATCGCCATTGATAATGTAAGTTTGTTTTATTTACGAGCATATGTTCTATGTATCTCAATACATTTGAAGTCAACTTTCATGACGAATTGATCTTTTAATGACTATTAATGAACCTTCTGTTTGGAAATATCTCGTCCTTAAAACTGCTTCTACATTTCATAAATTCTCGAGGGAATATTCCACATATTCGATGAAGTGTGAAGTATAATAATAATAAATGACTGTAGTTGTACACCTTCTGCTGAATGATAGCCTTATATTTCCGACTAAATGGTTTAAAATAAGATTATCCCATATATGTATGAATAATTTATCTTGGATCCACTGATTGGAAGTTATTGTGTAGAGGGAATTATAAGTTGGTCTGTTCTATTAATCCTAAGCAAACATTACTGAGTGGTGCCTTCAAATGATCTTGTTATTTGAATGGTCACAGTTTTATTGTTGACAATAATCTGTCATAGAATATTGATTATCTTATAGATTCTAACCACAGTGTCTGAACCATTCTACATGACGCTTATCAACAATTTACTTCTTGATGAACTGATGAGTTGTCATCTTTTGGTCGCACCCAGATTTCACTCATCCTTATTCACCATCTCTCTGTTTCGGTCCCTAACATTTATAAAGTGAGAAGTGAAAATTTCGTTGAATCAATCTTCTCCTTCTTCTGAGTTTCGTTGCATTTATTGTAAATTCTTATTTTGACAGCTGAATTACATAATACAGAAGATCCACTATGCTTATCAGCAGCTCTTTTCAATCCCTTGGTTCATATTTGAGATATCAGCGTTCAGGGTGATTTTGACTTCCGGTTTAAAACTCCATACTGCAATCGAAACTCTTCAGAGCTTGAGACACAAATTCCAGATTTTATGTTTTCGGTTGTCTATCCGTAAAATCTGTATGTCTGGTTTGATAAAGCTTGGAAGAACAAGGGTTATGAACATTGGCCCGATAAATTGGATGAAACCAATCACCAAATCAAAGGAACCTTCTATGGTCCGATGAGGGTTATTTGAAATGTGACAGAATATAAAATTTCCCGTATATGAATGAGATACATGATTACGATGCTATCAAAGCGCATTTGGTAATTGTTTTCCATACCTTTTTGATCATTATTTTTTCTCCAGGTTCTACGGAGAGAGCGTGTGCTCGACGAGAATGATAACTGCCCTGAAACTGTTGGTGTAAGAGAAATGAATGCATTGATAGCTAGAGATAACTCTGTTCGAATTTCTCTCTTAAGAACTGGAGATGGATTGACAATTGTTGTGAAGAATTGATTCATGTTATGATTGTTTTCAGAATGGTTACGTCCATACAGACATAAATACATTTGATTGATAAACCGAATTGCTTTGATTGCTATCACACATAAATAAATATTTCCCATTACTGTGTTGTCATTTTCAATCATCACTGCATATGTATGTTGTTGTAATAAAACATTTCTCTGAAGGGTTTCTGTATATTACATACCGTTTCAATCATTTTGTAATTGGCACCAAACATGTCTGGATCTCTCAAATGTGAGGAAATTCGTAGGATTTTGGGATTCTCTTTATAGTCTGAGGAAACATGAGGGGATGTAATGACTAACTAGAGGTCAGTGGAAACTTGTGGCATTTTAATCGCACTTTTCCCACAGTATATTTCCAAAATTTCTAATATGACATTCCTGAATGTGACGAAATTCTCCTCAAATGTGGATAATTGGGATGATGCGATGAAAACAAATTAAGCTTGCTGATTTCAAAATGGTCGATATTCAGCATAATCCTTAAACTTTGTATACAGTTCGTCCTGGTAACCGTCATTAGATAATTCCCCCAACGGTGTATTAATCAGAAGGTGAATACGAAGCAAGCATGCAAGAGTAATGCCGAAAATCTAGAGAGCATGCGAAATAATGAACAGGATCAAAATGTACATATATATACATAGTTAAATGAATGAATCAGGGAATCATTTAAGCGACTAATAGTAAGGCTAGCAGTATGAACATATGCGTAATCAGTAAGCAATGCTTAAGTATACATATTCATATAAGTGCAACAATAATAAAGGTACAATCATATAAAATATGTTGTTACTGTACGAATGACTCTATCCGTTAAATAAGCTAACAAAATGGCTTAACCAAATGAAATGTAAACAAAGTGAATTGCATGTGAACAAACTACTATACATTATAGCTTGATCATTTTTTTTTTAATTTTCAAAATATGTATATCAGTCCCACCCCCTTTTTTACACATCAAATTACAATCCACTTATCAATCATAAATCAATAATCCAATCATAATGAAATAATCAATAATAACCCGGGATATCAGTTCATTCATTTTAGTTTTTAAAACAAAAAAAAATATTTGTATCAGTTTATTTAAACACAATTTAATAATATTGCGGTAATATAAAAATGAGAATTTAGTAGTTGAGATGATCGAAATTGATTAAGAAAATGAATCAACAAGAAACAACTACAAAAATCAGTGTTGATAAAGAATATAGAAAGTATGATTATTCAAAGAACTTTGACAAGACATTGACAGAAGAAGAAGAAGATCCAACGAATTGTTCGTCAACATTACTTAAGCATCAATCTCAATTAGAGAGTCGTCTACTCACTCGTGATGATCTGATTAATTTAGACAAAATCGAACCTCGTTGGAGATATATTCGATTAGGATTATTAATTGGATTTGGGATTATATTTTTTGGTCTTTTAACAGCATGTATTGTTTACATAATTGTTGGAGAAAAATGTCCATCTGTGCCCAAATTACCATTTTGGAAATCAACAGTTGGTTACTGGTTAGATGTGTTTGCATTTAAAGACTCTTCTGGCGATTTAGTCGGAGATCTAAACGGTAATGAGTATTAGTGTAAAACCTCTATCACTCAAATGATGATTTTATCCTTATAGGACTCACATCTGAAGTAGATTACATCAAAACTGTAGTCGGTGCAGGATATGTGATATTGGGTCCCATTACTAAAGGATTTTACACTAATTCATACAATATGCTCGGATTAGTGGAAGATTATGAACAGTTAGATGAGGCAGTCGGCACAATGGCTGATTTTCGTATTCTTTTAAAACAATTTCATAAAAAGGATATAAAAGTTATCTTGACATTCGATTTCAATGCCATATCCATCAGTCATAAATGGATCATACAGAACAAAGTCAAACTGAAGTTGTTTGATGATGACTTTAAGAACAAGGTAAAACTACCTTCATTGTTCTATAGTATCTTTACACTTTATCTACATAAAGAAGTCACGATATGGAAATCGATTGGACGTGAATATTAGTCATCAAAAATACTATTCAGTTTTTGAATATCCAAGCATAGATCTAGATTTAACTTCTTCCGAAACTCAGAAAGCAATATTTGTATGTTTCAATGAATCCACTTCTTAAACTGTATTATTACCGATAGGATGTGATCCACTTTTGGATGAAAGAAGGAATAGATGGAATTCTCCTGGATAATGCTGCATTTTTTGTTGAAGAAAAAGAAGAAGAAGGAACACAGAGCAACGTAAGTCTACAAATGATAATCCAATGATAATTGTTTGTCCCTTTATAAACTATTCTCTTTCCTTTTACTCTATCTGTACATTTAGCTCAGTTCAACATGGTTGGAAAACTGTCCCAATTCTCAATTATATAGAAATGGAAGTGTGAAATTTGTTGAAGGTGTAAGAGAAGAAATGAACAAGTGGATTAAGGACAGTGGAAAAGAAAAGTGTGTTCGTTATTGAGTATTAATGTTGATGAATGTCTTGTCGTTTAAATCAAAGTGGTAATCACAATTGTATCAGAGACGAATGTACACCTTTATCTGCTTTAATGTAAATAGTGATACTTTCCATTATCTATAATGCTGTGTCATATCGGTAGTGTTAAAGTACCAGGTTGTAGATCACCAACGTAGATTATCAATGTCGAATGATTAGAGACCTACTCGAGTTAGATGGGAATGATGTGACGAACCAGAGAACTACGAAGTCATACCTCACGGTCAAAATCTAATGTGGATTACTTCTTCGACGTATAAAAGTACTATGGCTGCTTTGAAGACCGTATAACACAAATGATGTTATTAAGTAAATACATTAGTATGAATGAATACAGAAAAAATAGCGAGACCCTCACCACACGCGCCGGTCCATGGCATATGATCAACTGATGAGCGTTGGTTGTCCTTGACTTTGACAGGGATCGACGATCTGTTCAATATTCAGTCACCCAACTGCCGGATGATTTGGCTATGAATCAGTGACGTTTCACTGGCACTACAAAGTGATCAATAGAAACTCATCTAATTGGAAGTGAATGAAAGTACGCTTCTTAAACATGCAACAAATAGTTAAATACTTTAAGGGGTTCAGTAGATGCATTGCTTACTAAATAAGATTACTGAATAACAGAATTATTAAACTACTGGTGATAATCTGTGTTTTCTTGTATTTACATTGCATATTGAGTCATTCAATCGTTTATTATAAAATTTATTACAGAGTTAGTTATTGCTCAAACCATTGACATCATATTTAGATTTACTGATTTTCATACAGTTTATGTAAATGATCTCAGAAACACTTGTTTGTTCTTTGTACAGATTATTGGCTGTGAACTCTGGTGATACAGGTTGTGGTGTGGGCGATAATCCAGATCCAATGTTAATGTTCCGAGATGTGGCTGATTTAATAATCAGTCGCGAATTTGTATGGGGGAGAGGTGAAAAAGAACGTGAATTAACATTTAACCAAACAGCTCTACAAAAATATCTCACATATACAGATTCCGACAAAGAGATACTTGGTTTGACCACTAGCACTGTTCATATTCCGCCATATGGAGATACGCTTCAGCTTGCGACAACATTGTTATTGCCAGGTATAGGAACATAAATAATAAAAAAGCTTTTTAATATTATCCATACAACTTTACACGTTGCCACAATCTTGTGACTTTAAAATCTGAATTTAATAAATAACTTCTCGGAATACATAATCATCAATGGTATACTGAACGGAAATACCAGCTGATAGCATTTAAGTTTGATAAGAGATTATCTCTAGTGTTGTCATGGCTAATCCACAGTGAAATGAGGTATAGAACTGTTAATTGTAAACTCAACAATCAATTTACTAATAATAGTTTACCGATTAAGTTTACTAACATGATCTATCTTATATCACAGTGAGTGATTGTGAAAATATACTTTACAACTATCTGCAATTCTAAATATAAAATAAGAGACCAGTTTCCTCTGCGGATCTCTTGATACAGACATGACTTAAGTCATCCTAGTAGGTTCTTTCTGTAGAACAACTTCTGAGGGAATACATGTGGTTTGTCTTCGTTTGTCCCACTTCTAGTATCTTAGGGAGTATGATGAAATTTTGCATAAGGTATCTTGTCATTGAGGACTTGTTAGTTATATACGATATTCGACTTATATGACGGCTGAGATACTGCCCGGGTGCTCAGACCAAAGCAAGTGGTTTTATTAGGGGACCACACCCCGAGCCTTTGACCTGACGGTTTAAGCCACAAGGTAGTGGAGCAACGTCACAGTATGCAGTTCAATGGTAGCCGGTGACAAAAATTGGTTCATATGCCATTTGTTTCCTTAAGATTTTGGAGCCAATGAGGACCGTTGGTTTGAAATCAGGGTTTTCCAACTCCCCTAGATGGATCCTTCGTATCCAACAACCCGGTTAAATCGTTGGACATTCGCTTTTCGTCCTCTTGGTTTCGTAAACAACACCCTCGACGCGAGAAAGCAGTGATTAGTACTTCCCTGGAAGTGGTTGTATACACGTGGCTATTTGAGAGCATTTCGAGAGGGAGAGCTGACTGTCCTCACTCTCAGCCGTATCAGGGCATTTGGAGGTATGGAGGATATTAAATTGCGAAATGTGTTCACTCAAATGAATTATTATATAATATATTTCTCACCACTATTTTATCTTATCTATAGGACTACCAGTAATTTATTATGGAACTGAGATTGATGTAAACAGAGTCACTTCACAATATCTTCCTGTAAGTATTTATCCGAAAGGAAAGAGTTATAATGATGAACCATTTGATAAATATTCGTCTGTGTTATCTCATATGCCAATGCCATGGGATTTTAATGGGAAGAGGTTTTCGGCGACAATAAATGATTCGAGATTTCGTGACTATCTCAATGATTATAATAACAAAAAAGTTGTTGAAGTAAGTAATATAGTAACTTCCATGTATTCACTCATCAAATGCTTGTTTTCTTTGTGTAGCCGAAATGTTATTTTATTAAAATTATGTATTTTCAACGAGAATAACTGACCGCTTTTGCTGAATATCTACTGTGTAACCAAAACATGCTTACTTACGCCTGTTACTCTTCGTGGAGGAGCATTAGCCTCCAACCAGCACTCTCCATCAAACCCTGTCTTGGGCAGTCTTTTCCAGTTCTTCCCAGTTGTTATTCATCCTTTTCATATCTGCTTCTATTTCCCGGCGTAATATGTTCTTTGGCCTTCCTTTTTTCCGTTCCTATTCAGTATTAGATGTTAGTACTTGCCTCGTGATGCAGTTTGGGGATTTTGGTAATGTATGTCCTATCCACTTCCAAAGTCTTTTCCTAATTTCCTCTTCATCTGGAAGCTGGTTTGTTCTCTCTCACAGTAGGCTGTTGCTCATTGTATCCGGTAATTTGATGTTGCGTAGACAACTATTTGTGAATACTTGTATCTTCTTGATGATGGTTGTATTAGTTCTCCAAGTTTCAGCTCCATGAGTGCAATTTAATGACAAATAATTCAAAACCAAAGAAAATTAGAAAAATAATTGTTTTTAATAAATTCATCATCAGGCTCTGCAGCTATACGCGCGTGTCGTCCGATTTGAGGCTCGTCGGCTGTATGTGTCTGCATCCCATCCCAACATGAACTCTGAGATGCAGGTACATCCAGCTGACGAGTCCCAAATTGGACGAAACTCACGTCCTGCATTCCACTACTAGCCACTATCCGTCTTTTCTTAAAAATCTCGTGATTTAAGGCTATATCGAGGCAAGTTGCACAGGTTGCACATACGCTAACAAGAGACTGATCAGTTGCAGTCTTAAATAACAATGCAGAGATACGAGTAAAACAACACCAATTGAATTTGGGCTTTTAATTTACTTCTAATATTTACAAAGTATGCAGTTGAGCCTAGCCTGAATTTACCAATGAAGATGTGTAGTTAGCAATCATATAAACTTAAGTCATGAATGAACTCATTACCCGGTTGGCTCAGTTTTCAGTTGATTGGAATCTTTATTGACATAAACGCCTTTTATGATATTGAAAAAGTTATCGGAATGAAAAGAAATGGCTCAATATCGCGTGAAAAATCATATTTGTTGATTGATATGAGTTGGTTGTTTAGTTCTTTTACTGTACAATAAGTATTGTCAATCATTGTGAGTATAACAATCTTCTTTATCTTTAAAGAGTGAACTTGCTGAAGGAAATGACAAATCCGTTCTTCGTCTTGTACAAAAATTAGTAGCTTTACGTCAAAATCCTAGTATAAAATGGGGAACGATAGAGCAAATAAATATTGACCAAGTAAGTGATTTCCCAGCTTATACACTCGATGAATTGTTTTTCTAAAGTAATTTCTTAACTCAATTATTAACTATGGGGGCTTCTTCAACACTAAGGCATGCCAATATCATACGGAATTCCTATGATGGATTAAACTGCAAAATCGTGCATGAAGAACAGTTGACAGACTCGTTCGAGGTAAAGACTGGCGCCAGATAAGGCTGCTTACTCTCACCCTTTCTCTTCCTTCTGGTAATCGACTGTATTATGAAGATAGGATACAGTGGACAGCTAAGATGAAGCTCGACAATCTAGACTTCACAGATGATCTGGCTGTTTTATCGCATAAGCAACAACAAATTCAGGAGAAGACGACCAATCTAGCAGCATACTCAGCAGCAGTAGGTCTCAACATTCACAGAGGGAAAAGCAAGATTCTCCGACACAACACACCATGCACCAATGGTGTCGCCCTTGATGGAGAAGATTTGGAAGATGTAAAAACCTTTACATATCTGGGCAGCATCATTGATGAACATGGTGGATCTGATGCAGATGTGAAGGCACGGATCGGAAAGGCATGAGCAGCATATTAACAACTGAGGAACATCTGGAACTCAAAGCAACTGTCAACCAACACCAAGGTCAGGATTTTCAATACAAATGTCAAGACAGTTCCACTGTATGGGGCAGAAACCTGAAGAACGACGAAAGTCATCATCTAGAAGATAGAAGTGTTTATTAACAGTTGTCTATGCAAAATACTTTGGATCTGTTTGTAAGACACTATCAGTAACAACCTACTGTGGGACAGAACAAATCCGATTCCAGCTGAGTCATAAGGCAAGCCCTCACTTGGAATCCTCAAGTGCAAAAGAGATGAGGAAGACCACAGAGCACATTACGCCGAGAAATAGAGACAGACATGAGAAGAACGAACAACAATTGGATAGAACTAGAAAAGAAGGCTCAGGAAAGAGTGGGTTTTAGAATGCTGGTCGGCTGCTTATGTCCCATTGGGAGACAACCGCATAGGATGCTCATATGCCAATAATAGACTGATCAATCGCAGTCCTAAATAACAATGGTAAGGTACAAGTAAAACAACACCAAGTGAAATTTACTGGTAAGTTTACTTTTATCAATAAAATACAAATTAAATAAATATTATTAATGTACTTTGAAGTATTTCTTTCTTAACCCCTTTTTCACTTGGAAGTTTTCGCTGAATATGAAATATCATCCTTTTTCATGACATTCACCATTTCTGTTTAAACACATAACCCGACATATCATTACTTATTCATGCATTATTTATATGTGAATACATGAGTTGAAATATCCTAGATTCAACTGATAACTTCTAATATACTTGAGCAGTAAACATGTAATGATCTGCAATCATAGATGTAGTGAAGAGATCTACTGAAATGAATTTAATAGTTATTCTAGATAAAGCTTCCCAATATTACGTGCGCTATACAAATTTCATTTTCACTTAAAGTAATAATTACTGTTTTCCAGACTGATGAGTAACGGTCGGATCAACATCATCCTATTCAAAGTAATTAGTTGGATGCCGGCTCAGTGGTCTAGTTGGTTAAACGCTTGGTGCAAGACTGATAGGTCCTGGGTTCGAATCTCACGGGGAGCGGGATCGTGGATGCGCACGACTGAGGAGTCCCATACTGGGACGAAATTGCCATCCAGTGCTTCCAGGTTTTCCATGGTGGTCTAGCTTCAATTGACTCATGATTTCAATCTGTGTAATTAGTGCCTTTGATAAATTTCGATAGTGTAATTAAGAAGACGAAGATGAACAGAACTATGTGATAATATATATATCAGTACAATACATACACCCTTTTACACATTTTCACAACATCACAAAAGCCTAATTAAAATCGATCTTATGACCTGTTTCAATTATGTGTTTGACAATAGACGACGATGGATGTTTATCCTCTACCCTTATTGGGTCATTTAATTTTATTTGTTTCTGCAACCATTTAGGTACATGTTCACACACCCTAATATTGAGATCACGATTACTGTCTTCTTCTAACACTATCGGAATCTTCTTAATCTTTCGACTGGTCTATTGATCAACATCTCAATTAATTGACCATCGATTATTATATTCGTCTTCCGCACATTCCTTCATAGGTTATACCTTAAAGTTCATTACTTATTTCAGTGTTATTGTCTGTATTTCTACCAAACAGAAATCATCCCATCATTATATTTAATATGCATACATTTCATGTAATTCCCAGTCTACCAAATGCATTGATATTATCTATTTATCCTTTACCATTAATCTTCACTCGCCTTAGGCTTGCAGTTGGATGGTGATCATACGAATGACTTAAAATTGACTGACCACTGAATAGTAATCGTTGTCATGTGTGCCTTGTCATGATTAGTACTGGTTGGATTCTATTGATCAAGTTGGGATGTAATTCATAATCTAAACGACTTGAAATCGTGTGCACCATGTTGATATATTAGCTGATAGAGTTCGGGGGTTGGTACACCTTACTTGCAAGTTTAAAGCTGGACGAGACCTAAGTTCAGGGTTTACCTATGGACTACAATTAAAAATCACCATTTGGCACAGGGATTTTCGCTAACTGTTGTTTGAACTGAACGATTTTTATTATTGTGTATTTTACTGTGTAGTTTTTGAAACCATGATGAATAACCATTAAAACTCATTTGTGGGTAAATGATTTTAGAAGTTGTTTTCATTTTAGTTATGATATGTTTCTTAGCATTTCCGTTGGTCAATTGCTATTGCTGTGAAGTGTTTCACATGTTTTCTAGTTCTTGAAATGGTAGAGTTTTATGTAGTTATGTCATTGTTATCAAAGTTAACAGATTACTTTAAAGAGGTATTTTCGAATACATTTTTCATAATATGTCTTCATCTTGTTGACATGTGTTAATTTCTTTACAGGAATCTGTAAGTCATGCTGAAGCATTTGCACGAAAGGCGAAAGGTTTTCCAACATTCATTGTGGTATTAGTAAAGTATTTCAAGGAGGATTACTTTTTAGATTTAACTTCTGTTTGTTCATCAATTACACCAAGGGTAATTTATCCTTCACATCCACAATTATCAGTTGACAATGCATTATCAACCTCAAAAATATTCATCCCCAAACTGATATATTCTAGTTACATTTTAGTATTTGAATGTAATTAATCATATTTCCATATAATAAATTTCTCTCACATCTGATCTGAACTTATTGTTTGCACTTTCATTCATTTGCTTCATGTTTGGTTTTCTGCACTTAGCACGTAAACAGAATTTATCAGTATGGGGACTTGTGGAGGTTATAGTATTTTCGCTGTTGAAATCACAAGTCAATTTAAGTTAAACCACCATTGGAAACCTGGAAGTACTGGTGTTTAGCTTCAAGATGTAACTCCTGGTGTTCTAGTGAGGAACTTTGACCAGTGAAATGGAATAGGTGTCTAGTGTGACACAATTATTCACCTCAGGCAGTGGATACACAAACGGGAAGACGAACTAGACTATTCATCCATACTTTTTGAAATCACTATCGGGTGGTTGGAAAACGTAAAGCGTAATTTTGTTTCTGTTAATGTATTTCTCAAAGCTTTTGCATACGCTGAATTACTACTTCACTGGCTACATCACCTTTAAACTTTAACTTCAGGAATACAGGCTTTTTCAATACCGTCGGTGATTTGACTTCGGGTTTTGTTCCAGGCATATGCTTCGTTAGGAACTTTGATCGTTACCCATGTTCACATATTAAAATCACGGATTAAAAATTATCTGTTACATTGTGCTATAAGATTTTTGTTTGTGTAGCAGCTTCGGAAATTCAAGTAGTCATTTTGCAGTTGCCTGATCAGGTCAGTTGACTATATCGAACATTGAACAAAGTAGTATGCATTCTGTGTAGTACTCAGTAACAAAAGATTTTACAAGACCGTATATATTGATTAATGTTAATTATGTACCAAACGCTATGCTTAAGCTTTTGAGATCTGGATATTCCTGGACTCTTGAAAATATGAAACATTTAACTGGGTGATTCAAATGGTTATGGACGGAATAGGAGAAGCTTTCGCTTAACGGGCTTCCATGTCTAGTCGCAGTGGATCACCAATGACTACAGGCGGGAACCTAGGTATATTGACGATAACAGAGTAAAAAGAAATTGGCAAGTCATAGTAAGATATTATCCTTAGTCCTTAAGAATAGGTCAAGTTGCCTTTCAAAGGAATCCTGGAAAGCCTCTTGGACTAGCTCAACCGGCAGCGAATTCCAGCATTTGACAGGTTTTAAGGGGTAGAATTTGTGTCTACATTCCGTTCTGCTGTGTTGTGTCTGCAATTTCTGGGTGTTACCCCTTAGGTGTGTGTTAGAGCTAAACTTAAGTAGGTGTTTAAGGGGATGTCTAGCAGTGTTAAGCTTACTGTAACCATATGGAATCTTACTCAATTCACTTCAAAATGGGACTTCTTGAATCGAGCAGCTAATAGACTGATTAAGAATGAAGGTTCATTCTGGCTTGTTTAATTTTTCACTCAGACTAATTTCTCGATAATAAGATTATTAAACCGACAAATACTTTTACTTGAATACACCTCGAAAATGCATTAAAATTAGATTAGGTAGGTCAGGTTTACTCAGACTTCTCATACAGCGAACAAAGAAAAATGAGTAAGGTCAATCATTATTTTTATTAACCAGCTATTATAGAAAGGCATTCCTATTTAGACATCATGTATTATAAGATGGTGGAGGAGATTTGTAGCTCAAGTGGATGATTTTGATGGAGTTTTGTTCTCGGAGCTGAATGGTTTGGTTGTGGAGCTTTCGAACACTTCACTTCTATCTGAAGTGAAGAATACTGTTATACATATATATAAAACAGTATTCTTCGTGCCAGCCTCATATCAACTCAGACTCGTTAAAGATTTACTTTCATTCGAAATTTAAGTGCATCATTCCTAATTCTATTTATCACCTTTGTACTTATGCCCGTAGGTGTAACTATACACACGTTACGCTTGCTACTAGTCGGATAGCTTGAACTGCTTACTTGAAATATATCATGAAACAATTTTGTCTTTCATCTTATTTAATACGTTGTTTGGGAACTACGGAATAGAAAGGTCAGCTTGCACACAACCAGATGATTTGGACTTCTTAGATGAGCTAGCTCTTCTATTCCATACACATTAACAAACGCAGATGAACACTACTAGTGTAGCATCAGGCTCTGCAACAGTAGGCCTCAACATACACAAGGGAAAAACCAAGGTCCCCAAATACAAAAAATTTAACACCAACTAAACCAATCACACTAGATGGAGAAACTCTGGGAAAGGTTTAATCCTCTACGCATCTGTGAAGTACCATCGATGAACCAGTTATATCTGATGCAGACGTAAAGGGAAGGATTGGAAAGGCGGGGACATCATTCCTACAGTCCAGGAACATGTGGAACTCAAAACAACTATTAACCAATACCAAAGTCACAATCTTCAATACAAACGTCAAGACAGTCCTACTGTACGGAGCTGAAACTTCGAGAACTACTACAACCATCACCAAAAAGGTACAAGTATTTTAAAACAATTGCCTACGTAAGTTACTCAATATCCATTAGACGGATACCATCAGCAACAGAGTTCTGTGGAAGAGAACGAATCAACTTCCAGTCGAGGGGGAAACTAGGAAAAGATGTTGGGAGTGGATAAGATACACAATGAGGAAATCATCACACTGCATCACGAGGCAAGGCCCAACATCGAGTTCTTAATGGAAACGGAAAAGAGAAAGACCGAAGTACACACTGCGTGAGGATTCGGAAGCAGACATAAAAAGGATCAACATCAACTAGAAAGAACTGAAAAGGATCGCTCAGGACAGAATTAGGTGGAGAATGCAGGTGGTTGGCCCATGACCATCCATGAGGGGTAACAGACGTATGTGCGCCAGCAATACACTTTTGGAAAGTGTCAAAGTAATGACGATCATGTTCATTAGTCGATGAAGCTTCAATAAGCTCCTTACTAGTAATTTGTTGATCTTCTTGTACTCTGAATTGGTATTTACGATTTATCAAATTCAGAAACGTCGTGCATTCTTTAGTGTGTTTAGCTTAGGTTAAAATGTGACTATCTATACTCAGTGGTTACGATAAATTAGGACTGCGGAATCAGTTATGCTTGCTGAGTAACTGTGCAAATTGATGGTTGTTAGTAATAAACAAATTCTGTTCTGTCATATGTCAATTATGATAATTATCATAGGTATAATGAGAAATATTTCAGTTTCGTTGAAAATTTGTTATTCTAGTAAAGGTTACTTTCAGTCATATAAACCAAAAGTAAGTCTATTCCCGTACTGAAAAATATGCTTACCGTATGCATTATAAAACCAACTACTGAGTAGAAGAACCAAGAGTGAGAGGTAGCTGTATTGGTTAAACGAAATCGAGAAATATCTGTACACTTATCTATATACATAAAAATGTCCCTTAGAAACTTGAGCAACATATTTAACTAATTGAATGTCTCGTTCGTAAACGAATGACGATTAGCCTGTATTCACCTATCACAAATGATTGATTGCCTCAATGTATCAGGATTCCAAAGTAGATTCCTCTCGTTTCATACTTGTCATAATACGCGATTTCAGTTTTCGATATCTATTGATGTATTCCATTTTTTCAGCCCATTTTCACCCAGCTAGGTTGTTATGATACTGAGTTATGATAATGTGCATACTCTACTATAATTTACTGTTCAATTTTAGTAATTTGAACTGGTATGTTTATTCTATCCATAATTTGTTGAATGAATAACATAGAATGTAAACTGCACTTTTCTTGCAAATTTCATTGTTTTTATAGGAAAAAAACACCGGTATAAGCTGTCAGTGTTTACTGTTTATTTTTTACTTAGACATAAACTGATTCAATAGAAAGTGCATGGATCATATTAGTACAATTAACTTAATCGAATGATAGCATTTATGCACTTCATTACATAAACTCTACGTCACAACCTGATAACAAGCATAATTTACTAATTCCAGTTAAGTATAACAATCTGCAATAAAAATGATTCGTAACTTTTGTTTACACAAATGATTTACAATGATATGTTACGGATAACATGATCCCGTCTCAAACATTTGATTAAGGCCTAATGAATTTCAGTTTCAGTTCTAGTTTGGAAAGGACAGAAAGCTTGATAGCCTGTGTTAGTCCTAGCAGATGTAAAAACCTTTACATATCAGGACAGCATCATTGATGAACAGGGTGGATCTGATGCAGATGTGAAGGCGCGTATCGGCAAAGCAAGAGCAGCATATTTACAACTGAAGAACATCTGGAACTCAAAACAACTGTCAGCCAACACCAAGGTCAGAATTTTCAATACAAATGTCAAGACAGTTCCACTGTATGGGGCAGAAACCTGAAGAACTACGAAAGCCATCATCCAAAAGATACAAGTGTTTATTAACAGTTTTCTATGCAAAATACTTTAGATCCGTTGGCCAGACACTATTAGCAACAACGTACTTTGGGAGCGAACAAACCAGATCCCAGCGGAGGAAGAAATCAGGAAGAAGCGCTGGAAGTGGATAGGACACACATTGAGGAAAGCAGCCAACTGCGTCACAAGACAAGCCCTCATATGGAATCCTGAAGGTCAAAGGAAAAGAGGAAGACCAAAGAAAACATTGCGCCGAGAAATGGAAATAGACATGAGTAAAATGAACAAGAATTGGATGGAACTAGAGGAGAAGGCCCAGGACAGAGTGGGTTGGAGAATGCTTGTCGGCGGCCTATTCTCCATTAGGAGTAACGGGCGTAAGTAAGTAAGTAAAGTAAGTTAGTCCTGGCAATGATGGTCCACAGGTGATCCAACTTTCTTTTAAGACAGTCGATGAATAGAGCCTTAAACACGTGCCGAGGAAATGAATCCCACTCGTTGATGACTCGATTGGAAATTCGATAGTCAGCTGACAATTAATTTGTTCTGGGCTTGTGAACGTTCGTGGATTGTCCTCGTAAATTCTCTGTTTTGAATGATAAGAAAAATGAGAGCATATCAGATACACATTTTTCACTGCGTAACTTGAAAACTGTAATCACGTCAAGCATCATACGTGAGCTTCGCCATTCAGGGAATCAGCTTAATTGCTGT